CTGCTCTCCATCCCAAGCAAGATCCTGACAAGAATCATCCTGGAGAGACTCAAGAAGGCCCTGGACGAAACTCTACGAGAGGAGCAGGCAGGTTTTCGCCAAGACAGATCCTGCACAGACCAAATCGCCACGCTGCGAATTATCATCGAGCAGTCGTTGGAATGGCAGACCCCGCTGTACTCAGTATTCGTCGACTTCCAAAAGGCATTCGACAGTGTCGATAGAGGCGTCATCTGGAGGCTCATGCAACACTACGGCTTCCCCCCACCCCCACAAGTTCATTTCCATCATACAGCAACTGTACGACAACTCCAGCTGCCAAGTCATGCACGATGGGAAGTTGACGGACACATTCCAGGTACAGACCGGTGTTCGTCAAGGCTGCATACTGTCGCCGACCATCTTCCTTTTGGTAGTCGACTGGATTATGAAGCAGGCAACATCAGACTAAACGACCGGCATCCAGTGGACTTTCACCAAACAGCTGGAGGACCTGGACTTCGCTAACGACACTAGCCTCCTCTCACACAGACACCGGGACGCACAGGAGAAGCTGTTCCGCCTCGCCGTAGAAGCTGTGAAGACGGGCCTCAATATCAACACCAAGAAGACGGAGGTGATGCGAATAAACAACAAGAAACAAGACCCCATCACACTCCACGACGAAGACCTGATCGAGGTGGAGAAGTTTGTCTACCTGGGCAGCGTCGTCAACAAAGATGGAGGAACAGACGAAGACATCAAGAGCCGGATCAACAAGGCCAGACATGCATTCAACACCCACCGCCCCATTTGGAACTCTTCAGCCCTCTCCCTCCTCAATCTTCAACACCAGCGTCAAGTCTGTCCTACTGTATGGCTCCGAAACATGGAGAACTACCAAGTCAAACACCCACAAGCTGCAGACCTTTATCAACAGATGCCTTAGAAACATCATCAACATCAGATGGCCAGACGTCATTTCCAACGCTGACCTATGGGACAAGACTGGTCAAAGCCCCATTGAAGTGGAGATCAGAAAAAGGAAATGGGGGTGGATTGGCCACACACTCAGGAAGTCCCCCTCAAACGTCACCAAGCAAGTCCTTGACTGGAATCCGCAAGGAAAGCGAAAAGTAGGAAGACTGAAACAGACTTGGCGCAGGAGCACTGACGCAGAGGTGAAGGCCATCGGAACGACATGGGCGCAGCTGAGGAGGACCTTACAGAACCGAGTGCGTTGGAGGAGTGTTGTTGTGGCCCTATGTTCCTCAGGGAATTAAAAGGCTCAAGCAAGTATTGCAGGTGAAGCAAGTTGTACTATTGTGCAGATGCATACAACCCAGATGAACACTGCAATAACAAATACAGTATAATATGCAAGTGACAGTAAGCAGATGTTAATATTAACAACACCATTACTGATGCTATACATGTTTACCAGCCGTGCCAAGAATAATGTCAAAAGACTCATAGAAACTGGCTTTAACAACACAAACTTGTCACCCTTAAGACTTCATGGAATTAATCTGAGAATTACAGATGGATATAAAATACTCCTGCTTACAA